ACCCCCCCCCCCCCCCCCCCTGTGAACAAGTGACAAAAATGCGCAAGAATGCTGGCTGACTCGAGAAGCGTGGGCTGAAATACGTCCACTCGGCTGGTGTGGTGCACCGCGATCTCAAGCCCAGCAACATCCTCGTCAACGAGAACTGCGATCTCAAGATCTGCGACTTCGGTCTCGCACGTATACAAGACCCCCAGATGACGGGCTACGTCTCTACGCGATACTACCGAGCACCCGAAATCATGCTCACGTGGCAAAAGTACGACGTCGAGGTGGACATCTGGAGCGCGGGGTGCATCTTTGCCGAGATGCTCGAGGGCAAGCCTCTTTTCCCTGGAAAGGACCATGTCAACCAATTCTCCATCATTACGGAGCTTTTGGGCACTCCTCCAGATGATGTCATTCAGACAATTTGCAGTGAAAATGTTGATGCGCCCGACACACCCATGACGAAACTTGGCTGACTTTGTCTAGACACTGCGATTCGTCCAATCTCTTCCCAAGCGCGAGAGGCAACCGCTGGCCAACAAGTTCAAGAATGCCGAGCCCGAGGGTGAGTGTGTGAGACTGATCGCTAGTGTGCTAAACTAACACTGTGCAGCCGTCGATCTGCTAGAAAACATGCTGGTCTTTGACCCGAGGAAGCGCGTACGAGCAGAGCAGGCTCTTGCTCACCCATACCTCGCCCCATACCACGACCCCACCGACGAGCCCATTGCCGAGGAGAAGTTCGACTGGTCGTTCAACGACGCAGACTTGCCCGTCGACACGTGGAAGATCATGATGTAGGCTTGCAACCCCGCAAGGATACCAAGCACACACGGCTAACCCCACACACACAGGTACTCTGAAATCCTAGACTACCACAATGTCGATGCAGCCGCACAGGATGCTCCAGAGAGCAACGGCAGCTAGCCCTGGCAACGTTCGCTGAGAATTGAGCCATAATACTTTCCCTTCCCAGAGGCCCCGAGTCATGTAGTTTATCAGAGTTCGATGCAACATGTGCGTGGAGCAGGCGGATTTGGCTTTTCCCAAATGATTCCCAAGGTTTCGCCCAGTGGACCTATGTGACACGACGATGCACGCGTAGATGGACATGGGTATGTTTTTTGTCATTTGGATTATCATGCTGGTACACGAAAGGTTTGTTCACGACAAGATTGGGGGGTACGGCCCAGCCTAGGTAGGAATACGACATCATGTTGTCGCCAGCGATGGCCTTTTTTTTTCTTATTTGTGTGATGCGTTTGGTTGTATTTGCCAATATTTATTTAGATAGAAATGAAGCAAGGATCGCCTTTCCACGCCAGGTTTGCTCATGCACACGTGTAGGCTGTGGAAACCGCCGAGGCTTGCTACCCAAAGCGGTCTAGCCCCATAAGGCCGGTGGGAGGGACTGGTGTCGTTTGTTACCGCTCACACCGCGTCCCCCAACTATGCCCCGGACATGAGCCCGGCCCCTATGGCCTTGCCTTCTTCAATTTCAGGATCCTGACCGCCGTGCGACATCGCGGCAAAACGCACAGAAATGGCGACGCTGAATCCACTGGTCTGCGTAGTCGACTTTCATCATGCGCGGTAAGCTGCTTCGCCTGCATGTGATGGCATGGAGCCGGCATAGGGCGAGGGGGAGGGGGAGGGCGCATATAAGGAGAGCATCTGGAGTAGCATGGCGGTCACTGACACGGCTGTTAGGGGCCCCGAAATCGAACTCTGGCTCGGCACAGAACAGGGAGCCGACCCGGCGGTAGAAAATGACTGGTCTCTCTTGCCCTTCATGGCGCTGAGTGATGGCGCTCATGCCTCCACCGAAGACTACTCGTACTTTACGCTCCGCCGCGCGCAAACACCGACCCAGCCCGCAACCTCCCTGTTCGGTATCTCGTGTACGCGACAACTCGATGCTACCAAGCTCATCGACCGGCCGCCCGAGGTTACAAGGAGTACGGTGCAAAAGGCGGTAGTGGTAATCAGTGATAGCCCACAGCATTTTGGCGCCATCAAGGCACAGCTCGGTGTCGTCACACAGTTGTGGTTTGCCCAGAGGTACAAATGCCATCAGGGGGAGGAGGAGGTCATCATGCGGCTGACAGGGGGAATAGGGACTTTACGGACATTGAGATTTTGGAGCGGTTTACGGAAAGCCTACCCCAGCTGCTTAAGAACCAGGAGGGCCAGCAGGACCACTATTTTGGAATTTCTCTACGCGAGTTCATCCACGAGTTCAAATGGCAGACGCTGGTTCTCTTCAAGTGCGCGTTGCTGCAGCCCAAGGTACGCAATGCTCCAGCATCCAGCAGAGACGGCACATGGAGCTAACCTACCGCCAAACAGGTCCTTTTCTTCGGCTCCCATTGCGAACGGTTGTGCATGATGCAGTTTGCTCTGATTTCTCTGATACCCGGCCTAATTCGCCACCTGCAAGATGCTGCTGATCCCAAATTCAATTCGTGCGAGGAGAAATGTGTCATGCCCACGTCGCTGAAAACGTCAGAGCGCGCTTCATGTCAGTGCCTGAAACCATGCGAAGATGCATCATGTTAATGGAGAGCAGTGCTCGCGTACATGGGTCTCCCGCTGCAACTGTTTGGCACAGGCTCGCTATTCGGACCGTATACCCCACTGCAGCAGCTCGATATTCTGGCCGACCAGGATACAAATTCGTATATTGTTGGATCCACCAATTCACTGCTGTTGCAGCAAAAAGACCGCTACAGTGACATACTCATCAACCTCGATGATCACACGGTAAACATTACATCCGCAGCGCTTCGCCACGCATCCGTCCTGTCGACACCCGACCGCCGATGGATAGACTTTTTAACCCAGACGGTCCACGACACGTGGGATGACTCGGACCCGGGGCGGCCCAAGGATCATGGCTATGCTGGCAGTGAAGAGTTTATCCGCATGCAGTTTGAGGAATATCTACTGGCTATGCTGAGCTCCGTCAAGTACAAAATCTACATGGAGAAGAATGCGCACAAGGAGCACTTGATTACCGAGGTAGAAGGCGATCCGTCGAGCGAATTCTCAAACGAATGGGTGCATGCCTGGATGCAGACGGAGAACTTTCGCATCTGGAACAAGTTTACAGACTCTCATCTCTTCGACATTGTAGATCCCAAGCACCCCTGCTCGGGTGGTCTTAGCATGGAAGACGTTCAGCGCCGACTAGCACAGTACGTCTTTTCTTCGTCGTCTTGCAACCCCAACTAAGTCCTGTTTCTTAGTCTTTGCAACAACCCCACATTCCAAGCCGTGTCTCTGGCAGTATGTGTGCTGATTCTCGCGTGGCGACTAGGCAAGTAGCAGAAATGCACCTCGACGAACGGCTTGAGAAGAGCAGAGAGATTCTTGGAAAACAGCTTGCTGTAGGCCAGCAGAAATTTTCGTCTGCATACAACCGGCTTTGGGCGGAAATGGAGGCCATGCGCGAAGCACAGAGGCAAAAGGCTGAGGAGGCAAAGATTCAGGCCGAAAAGGAGGGGCGGCCAGTGGACGATGCGAAGAAGTGTAAGTCTGGCGCTGGAAGTAACCAATGCCAACTGATAAATTGCAGGGAAAGCACCCCAGGCTCCGGATCTGTCCAACGCTCAAGCAAGAGCGGGTGCCTATTTGTCTAGTTGGGGAGCCTGGGCAAGCGAGAAGAGAAAGACATGGGGTAACAAGACGCCTGTATCATCACCCGCCGCGGATGACATAAAACGAGCCGAAGACTTTGAAAAAGAAAAGGTTGCGATGATTGGTGTGAACAGTCCATCTTCTCCGCCCCGGGATGTCAAGAGGCGGAGTTTGTTTTTTGATGCTGAGGAAGACAAGGCCGAGGCGGATAAGATGGAGGCGGAGAAGGAGAAGGAGAAGGAGAAGGAGAAGGAGAAGGTCCCTGAGAAAGTTGAGGACAAGGATGAGAAGATCGAGAAGATCGAGCAATATGAGGATAAGGCCGAGAAGGGCGAGGACAAGGCTGTGAAGATTGAGGGAAAGGCTGAGGAGAATATTGAGGAGGATAAAGTTGAGGAGAAGAGTGAGGAGAAGATTGACAAGGCTGAGGATAAGGTCGAGGACAAGGTCGAGGACAAGGTCAAGACGGTTGAGACGGTTGAGAAGACTGAGGACAAAGCTGAGGACAAAGCTGAGGACAAGGCTGAAACGGCCCATGTAGAGAAGAACTAGATTCTTGCTCCTATATCATCTCAACGACGAATCGAACAGTACAACTTTTAACATTGTCTAAAGGCCAGTAATATGTATTACATACACTTCATGATGCTGCGTTCACACCTCGTTGCTTACATCTAATTGGGTATCCACGATTCCTGACCATGCCCTGTATGCTGTATCCCAAAAACGTCTATGTCATGTCTCGCCAAGCCAACCATCATCTATGCTCATCATGTGCAAAAACGCTATTGTAGCCTTCCACTCAACTTCTCCCCTTGAATAAAATCCTTAATCGTCTGCTCCAATCCCACGTCTTCGCTAAAGCCCAGCTCCTTTGCCCGAGTGGTATCGTATTTGGCCGGCCAACTCAACACGATCCTCTGCGTAGTCTCATCCCTCTTCTCCTTGACCAGCGCCCTCGCCTCCTTTCCCGCAACCTTCTCCAACGCATCCAGTATCTCACCGCTCGTCGCCGTATACCCGGGCAACAACACCTGTCTAAAGTGACCAAACTTCTCCGCCGGCACCTTTACCGCATGCACAAGGTTCTCGGCCAGCGTGCGCGGCGACGTCAGCCAAATGCCTATCTGGGGATCCACAGGCAACTCGGCCTCAAACCCATGAATCGGCTCGCGCACAATACCCGACACAAACGACGACGCAGCCGCCGTCGGCGCGCCCGCCCTCACAAACACCGTCGGCAGCCTTACACTGCGGCCATCCAGCAGCCCGCGCCGCGAGTAATCATTCACCAGAAACTCAATCATGAGTTTCTGCGTCCCGTAGCTGGATTCCGGCATGGGCACCACATCCGTCTCGGTTGCGACCTGCGTCACGGCCGCGCGCCCGAATACCGCGCACGAAGATGTAAAAACGACTTTTGTGCTGCTACGCCCCGTCCGCCGTATCGTGTCTAGTAGCTGCCGTACCGACTCGAAGTTGACGGCAAGACCTAACTCGAGGTTTGCTTCGCTCCCGCTAGACATGATGCCGTGCAGGATGTACACGGCGTCGGGCGCTTCGTCGTCGATCAGCGACGAGCAGGTTGCGGACGAGGTTAGGTCGGCGGCTACGCAGCGTACAGTGTCCGGCGAGGTGGCCGTCGTGGGGTTGGGCGGCGAGTGCAGGTCTACGAGAACTAGGCGGGTGGCCGTGTTGCTGGAAATCAGGTGTTGGGCGAGGATTTGGCCGACGAAGCCGCCTGCGCCGGTGATGAGGACTTTCATATTGCGTGGTATGTTTTTTTCCGTTCTCTCTATTGTCCTTCTTCTTTCGTCTTCTCTTACGTCTTCTTCTTCTTCTTCTTCTTCTTTTTTTTGACGCTGTATTACAGCTCTTGTTGTGATTATTCTTCGTTCAAGTCAACCGAGTCGGCCTGCTCCCAACGAGACGGCAGCAAAGGAAATCGGAATGTTGAATTGTGCTGGCCGTCATTCATTCTGCCATGTTGCTTTATGCGGATTTTGCTCGCTCGGTGCACATGCCGATGCATATGGAGAAAGTGTGGGGCAATAGACAGCGGGGTCCGGCGATAGCCCCGGATCGTTGGTTTTTCTGTTCCCGAGGTTGCATTGGGAGGCGGGGGGTGGGAGATTTCGCCATCGTACTCTCTTGTCCAAAGTATATACGACATGTGGGAAATCGAGATGTAAGAGAAGGCAAAAAAAAAAAAAAGGCAAACGTCTAGAAGGAAAACGATTTCACCCCACACATTACCTTTTCGGGACGTCTTATACTGTCACTGTGCATTTCCAGGGGGACCCAAACTCTAACTTACAGGAGAGGTCCTTGCGGTGCCGCATTTTTTTTGTACCTGTACCTGGGTGTGACTAGCCAGGGGAGGGGTAACCAACTGGATAAAATGTCACACTGCTAAGTCGCATTCTTCCCGCTTTATCCTTTTACGGGGTACCCAATGGCGGCTTTGCGCTCGTGCCTCCGCCATCATGTCAATTGTTCTTTTTCTTATTTTTGGCTTCGCTTGCAGCTTTGCTAAAGCGGGTTGGAAGACTTGCCTCTGACGCGCGTTATATCCAGCCAATGGTGAGAATATGAAGTTGGGTTTCCCCCTACATGGACATACTTACATTGTACAGACACGGTTTGTTTCCCCTCACGGCCCTTGCCCCTCCCACCTACTTCTGGAAAGCTCCCAGCTAACCAGAAAATCGACGGAGCGACATGTGCCGTATCTGGCAATCTGTGGCTCAGCAGACCACGAAAAACGTTAGTCGCTTTCATGTCACCTACTTACTGACAGGGCCGTGACGAGGTGCCGGAAATCACAGTCTCTCCTGAGCGAGGAACCGCGCGCACGATTCGTTACAAAACCATGGTTACATTTGAAGATCCCTCCGGGGCTAAGTGCCTATTTTGTCGATCTGCACACACACACACTGCTTCTTTTACTAGAAGCAGAACGGAGTCAGGAGATGCGACCGAGCCATGTAGCTCTTCTTTAGACTTTACTCTTTTTGTCCGGTACCTAGGCTGCGCGTGGGAACATGGGCCACTGGACATTAGCATTGGGGTAAATATCCTAGCCATATTGATCCGGACTAGTGCCCCATGAGCTGGTATAAAAGCTGGTGATGGGGAAATTCTGGGGAAGATCTGGAGAACAACGCCCCCCCTCTTCTTTCCTTGAGCATTCCCTCCTCCTCCTTCCCCCTTCTCCCTCCTTCTTCCTCCACCAATGGCTTTCGCGAAGGCAATTCTTCTGGGGCTCGCTCACTTCCACCTCGGCGCAGCTATTGCGAGGAGCCCCGCGGCCATTGATACGTCTTCGGGCCGGGTTCAAGGTTTTACCGATGACATCACACCGAATGTTGCGCAGTACCTCGGCATCCCGTTTGCGGAGCAGCCAGTCGGCCCTAGGAGATGGCTGCCACCTGCTCCAAAGAAAAAGAGTGAAAGCAACCATTCAGGCGAAGACGCTGGGGCCGTCTTGTCCTCAGTATGAGGGCAACAGGTCCAACGTCTGGCTGACGGATGCGCCCGAGTTTATTATTACGCCGCGCGACTTTCAGTCCGAGGAGTGTCTGAACCTCAATGTTTGGGCGCCGCTTGACAAGTGTCGGGGTGAGCAGTCGAAAAAAGATTTGTTGCCTGTGCTCGTGTGGATTTACGGTGGAGGCTTTGCTACGGGCGGTCCTACTGTTCCGTATCAGGTCCCGGCTAGATGGGTTGAGAGGAGTGGCGAGCATATCGTGGTTGGAATCACGTAAGTTGGGCAGATGCCTAAGAAGCACCAGGCACTGACTTTGTCTCCAGCTACCGAGTGAACATTTTTGGCTTTCCCAATGCCCGCGCCCTGAAAAGCGGCGAGCAGAATCTGGGCTTGCTGGACCAGCGCCTGGCTGTCGAATGGATTCGAGACAACATTCGCAACTTTGGCGGTGACCCAAGCCGTATCACGCTCTGGGGCCAATCTGCAGGTGCTATTTCCGTCGACAACTACAATTTCGCCTACCCCGAGGACCCCATTGCTTCTGGATACATTATGAATTCTGGCAATTCTCTGCTCAGACTGCAGAGCAACGACGTGCAGCACACGAACTTTACCTTTGTCGCCAAGCACTTTGGATGCAACACCACCACTGGCGAATCCGAGATTGAGTGTCTCCGGGGTGTGTCCTCGGTCGACATTGAAAAGTTCCTCAAGCAGTACTCGGACAGCGGCAAAGCTCCCAGTCTCAGTTTCGTCCAAGTGGTGGATAACCGCACCTTCTTCTCCAACCCCACGGAGCGTACTCTGGCCGGAAACTTTTCTCGCAAGCCCGCCATTATCGGTACGACTGACAATGAAGGCAGCGCGTTTGTTCCATTCAGCACAACACAGGCACCGAACCGAACCGCCGCAGACCGTTTTACGGCTGACTTGTTCCTTTGCCCTGCCGTCCAAACGACATCCAGCCGCTACAAAGCAAACGCCACTACATTCCGCTACCTGTACTCTGGAAACTTTAGCAACATTGCCCCGCGGCCCTGGGAAGGCGCGTGCCACTCTTCCGACCTGCCCATGTACTTTGGCACATACGGCATTGCGCGCGGCAACGGCACGCAGCTGGAACGCGAAACCAGCGAGCGCATGCAAGACTTCTACCTGGCCTTTGCCAAGGATCCCGTGAACGGGCTGCCAGACATGGGCTGGGACGCGTATGAGCCGGAAGGTGAGGCGCTGCTGATTGCTCATGGTGGACAGGCTATACAGAAGATTAGCCAGAGCAAACTTGAGAGCCCGTGTGATGGTGTAAAACCGAATGGGAAGCCGCTGCCTCCGAATAATTAAATATAAGGGATATGGGGGGAGCATGGATGTACATAATTTTACTGAGTACATATTGATTCATACGTACATACATATACGGCGTCCTGGGAATTGCTGCTGAAGTAACTGACTAATACACGATTGTATCACTGTCTCTCGTGTTCCAGTTGTCCTGCCAACTAGCTTTCTTTTTTTCCCTTTTTTTACACTAGATCTTCATCACTAATCACACACATAGGTGGATCTCTCACGCATATGTGCATGTATAAATTCCATCTTTGGCATAGGTACATATATAGGCGTAAGCCTGGGACCTGCTTGCTGATATTCTAGTTCGCGTACCATGCGTGCGCTCCTTCGAAAAAAGCAAGATCAAATAACTGATAAGTATCGGGTCCGTGAGTAGCGACGATATTAGCGTCCCCTTTGCAATCTCTAGCTAGATAGCATGGGCACAGTACACCTATAGCATAGGATAGCATGCATCTACCCCTTTTGTTTGTGCGGATTAAAAGGGGCACTAGAGTTGCACGCTACGCTTGCTTGACATGCCATTTGCATATATCCAACACGCCTTGCTGTTTGCATCAATCTAGTCGACATCTAGTGAGCGTACACGTTTCGACTACGAGACAGGGGACCACAGTTGTCTCCCTCTCCCTCTCTCTCTCTCTCTCTCTCTCTCTCAGACGGGAAATTCGAAGAAAAAGAAAAAAGAAAGAAAGAAGGATCGATACAGGGAATAAATCCTAGCTCGAACTTTCTGCATCCTTGTAGTTGTGCTTATTTGTTTTGTTTTGTTTCCTAGAGCAAGAACTAGTAAAGAGCATTTCAACGTGTGCCCCTTGAACGCTGGTCTGAGCATGAACATGGAACGTGAACGTGAACGTGAACAAGACTATGGTGGACGAATTACTTTTTTTATGGCTCTCTTGATCGGCATCGATACAGGGATAGGAGCAGGTGGGGAAAGAGAATGAAAGAATGAAAGAAAGAAAGCAATGGGGTTTGAAGGATGCAAGAAGGAACGAGATGATATCAGAAACAAAGTGAGAGAACGAGAGAACGAAGAAAAGAAAAGAACATAACGAAAAGAAGGAGAGAACGCAAAAGAAATAAGATATTGGCTAGTGCATCAAGGTGATCTAGCATGCAACGTCGCTAAATGGCATAGTGGCTGGCTGGCTAGGAGGATGCTGGACATAGACTGCGGTTAAATATTACTCATCTTTCCCTTTAGTTTTTTTTTCCATGCAGCAGATTAGCGTTTCCAACGCCCCCTGCCCCCATGGGTTTTTGTTTTTCGATAGCCCGGGGCGATCGTGAGGCTAGAGAGGCTGGGGGACAGAGGTGTGGGTGTGGGTGTGGGTAGGGATGCCGAAAAGAATGGTGTGGCGTTTTTCTCTTGTGGCGCGCACATTCTCTACATACATCTAGTTTGATGCTTTGCAGCTTGAGATGCTGGGATGATGCGAAACAGGGATATGGGGATGGCGTCGAAGCATGGAATCGAGTTGGTGGTGTTCGGCCGTGGCTGGAGTACGACACGTGACTTGGCCTGTGGCTTCAACACTTGGTGTGGCTCTCACCTGCCACAGCGGGGTTCCGCACATGTGCATGTTAGTGTTGCAGGTGCCGTGACGTCAAGACGGGAATGGCCAGGCCCAAACATGGGGGGAGCTGTCAACAAACAGGGCCGGACACGTGGTGGTGCATACGACGACGCTCAAAACTGGCGCTCCACTGACTGCCTGCTCTCCGCCTTCTTCAGCTCTCTGTTACCTCTCCACCTACTACTGCTTTCCCTGATACCTACATACGAGAACCCCCCCGGGCATTATTGAGCTGAGCTGCTACTGAGCCGAAGCGCCACGATACCTGTGTTTAGCCAGGACAAATCAAACCTCATCATGGCACACCAGACTCCTGCCTCGCTCGTCGACCAATTGACTGCCTCTGGCGGCTCTGAACCAGCAGGTAAGATATACAATGCACATGTCGATAGCTGTCCCCACCTTTGCCCAATGCGTGCCACAACAGCTTCACAGCATACCGCGTGCTAACCATGTGCAGGCTTCCTCAATGACATCATCAAGAACCTCTGGCCCAACATTTGTGTGGCTGGCTCAAACATCATCAAGGACACGGTCGAGCCCATACTGGCTTCGACGCTGCCCGGCCCGCTGTCCAAGCTGCGCTTCGTCAAGATTGAGTTCGGCAAGGTCCCAATTAGTTTTTCCAATGTCGACGTACACAAGACTTCGGCCGGGGGCATCAAGCTCGATATGGATATGAACTGGGAGGGCTTGTGCGACTTTGAGCTCGATGGCGGCATGGTCCCGAAAGTGGTATGTCTTGTGCAGACTAAGCTGGGGGAGGGGTCGGGCTAACGCGGTTCGCAGGGTGTGGAGAGGGTTCATATGAAGGGGCGTATCAGCGTCTTGCTGTGTCCATTGACGAATGTTATTCCTCTGGTAAGTTCTGCATCTGTCGGTAAATGCTCTGGTACAATCTAACCCGTGGTAGATTGGAGCCGTCCAGGTTGCTTTCCTCAACACACCAAGCCTGTCGCTCGACTTTACGGATGCGGCAAATATTGCAGACTTCTCTGTCATCAACAACACTATCCGCAAGACCATCCTCGGCGTCATTGAGTCGATGGCTGTACTTCCCAACCGCTTCCTTGTTAAGCTGGACCCCAACACCGACTACTTCAAGGCCTACCAGCCGCACAACGGCGTGATCCGTGTCACCGTCGTCAAGGCTTCTGGAATCGATGCACCCAAGAAGGGTGAAAGGAAGAGCGGCCTGAAGAAGCTAATGGCCAAGGTCAAGCTTGAAGACGTACCAGACTGCTACGTCAAGGTCAAGGTTGGCGCTGAAGAGGAGTGGAAGACTTCGACCGTAGACAACAACCGCGAGCCGGAGTGGAACGAAAGTCACGACTTTTTAGTTACGGACTTTGAGCAGGACATCTCTGTAGATATCCAGGATGAGGACATGGCGGGTGACGACGACATGGGAATTGCTTCGACTACTGTCAAGCAAATTCTTCTCAATGGCGGCACACAGGAGCTGCGCCTTTCCCAAAAGGGCCAGGAGGCTGCAGGGACGCTCCTGATCCACGCAAAGTACTTCCATCTCGTCAGCGATGCTCAAGTGCTATCCGCCCCCAGCGCTCAAGGCCAAGGCCAAGTCTGCGGCCTTGCTACAATCCTCATCGCTGGTGTTCACGAGCTCCAGGGCCAGCGTGATGATCTCAACCCCAGCGTCAAGGTTACCTGGGGCGACAAGACGTTCCAGACGGCAGCAAAGACGTACTCACCTGGAACCGACATCTTCAACCCTTCGTTTGACCAGGCGTTCCGCATCCCCATGACGGCGGACATGCTGGCGAACCCGGGCGCCTTCAAGCTGTCACTGCTAAACAAGAATGTAGAGTTTGGCAGTGCGCAGGTGGATTTCAGAGACGTGGTGAGTGCACAGGGCATGGTGCTGCAGGATCGATTCAACGTTGGCAACGGAGCGCAGATCCGGGCGTCGATTAGCCTGCAGGGTGTCAAGGCAGCCGAGTAAAGAGAGTGCAAGTTTTGACGAGCAAGGTGGGAAAAAGGAAATGGATTATGCACATGGAGCGTGTTGTGCAGATGACGCAATAGAATGCCTGCACATGATGGGGAAAATGTGGACCAGTGGCGGTATGAATATCATGGCGTGTTATTATCATGGATTGTGACTTTGGTGGATATGGTGATGTAGCCTCCTCTCGAGTCAAGATGGGATCATGATTGAGATAAACTTTATCGATCATGTACTAATGGCCAGCCCTGGACACGCCTTATCCAGCCCCACCCATGTCGATACCCCCCGACCAAGCCTCCTCCAGGTACACCTTTTGCCATGAGTCATGACGCATAAACTTCCGCTTTAGTAAAGAAAGAACGAAAGAAAGGCGTGCAAGAAAAAAGCAAAAAGAAAAGAAAAGTTGAAAAACACACACACACACACACACACACACTCAGTGAAGCGTCTACTTCCTTGTCCCTTGGCCAGCCCATTTGTAAAAGAAGGAAAAAAAAATAGTCAGTACATGTAAGGAAGAAGAAATAAAACACATTTTCCGTACTGCCTGGGGTCCTTTGTGCTTGTTTGGTATGCTGTTTGCCTCTGGGTGTAGGTGGAGGTGGAGGTGTACATGGATATGGATATGCGTTGCATGGTCTCACACACATACGCACACTAAGTAAGTAGATAGTCAGCCAGCTGGCTAAGCTGTACATTCAAGCAAGTATAGGTGTTGAGGTAGGTGTAGGTGTTGGTGTACTTTTCCAGCACCATCCACATTCATGCATACACCTACATGACATAATATAACATGTACATACATACGTGCATACATGCATCCCATTAAATAGCATTCCATTCCATAACATCACATCGCATCACAGTACATTCGCATCACATTACATTACATTACATTACATTACATAGTCGCACCCGCCTGCGTCGTCCCGCCATCGACGTCAAGAATCGCCGCCTCCTCGTCACTCCGCGGCTTGACAAGCTGGATGCTGATATCCGGGTCGAGACTGTAGACTCGGAGACCCAGGATGCAAACTGCGTTCCAGGGTTTGGGGTCTTCGTTTTCTTCTTCTTCTTCTTCTTCTTCTTCTTCTTCTTCTTCTTTTTTGGTCGTGTCGTTGGCTTCTTTTTTTGGTCGTGTCTTCGGACGAGGAGGTGGGCGAGGGATCTGGGTCGCTGGTGACGGGAGCTGCTTGGGGGGGGTGGTGTCGCTGGTGGTGGTGGAGGCGGAGGCGTCTGCAGTGGTGGTGGAAGTGGAAGTGGGGTTTTCGGTGGCGGTGTTGGTGTTGGTATCGGTGGCTTGCGTCGTAGTGGTTGTGGTGGTGCTGTCTTGTGTGGTATCTTGTTTTGCGGTGTCTTTGGCGGTGTCCTGGGCGGTGTCTTTGGCGGTGCTGTCTGTAGAGCCTGCATCAGGAGCTGGAGCTGGAGCAGGCTTGGAGTCTCTGTGTTTTTCTCCTTCTGCTGGTGCTTCTGTGACAGCAGCAGTAGCGTCGGTTTGGTCTGTTTTCGTCGCAGGAGTAGGAGTAGGCTTGGAGTCTTTATGTTTTTCTCCTCCCGCTGGTGCTTCTGTGGTGGTGGTAGCATCGCTTTGCTCCGTCTTCGTCGTCTGAGTCTCACTGTCCTTGGCTTCTTCTTTGGCCCCCTTTGCAGCTTCTTCCTTGGCTCGCAGCTGCTCCTTGGCCTCGAGCTCCTTTCGCTTTTTCCACGCATCGTACTCTGCCTTTTCGACCTTCTTCCACTCCTCAAACTCAGCCTTCTCTTTATCGTGCTTCTCCTTCTCCTTTGCCTTTTTCTCCGCTGCTTCCTTCTTCTCTTTTTCCCTCTTCTTCTTCTCTTCCTCAGACACTGCAACGACGCCTTTTGCATTGGCAATGTCGTAGTTGAGGCCTATCTGCCGCAGCTTCTGCGGGTTGCGCTCCGCAAGCTTCTTGACAACGTCGAGGACTTCGGGCTCGTCTGGGTCCTGTATGGCTACGATCTTGGGTACCACTTCGTACACGCCGGCGTCGAGGTCGACCTCAGCCGAGACGTTGCGATTTCCAAACCACGGCCCGCGAACACGCACAATGTGGTCGCCTGTTTCGGCATTCTTTTCTTGCAGCACAAAATGAAGATCAAACTCGTATTTTCCGTCTAGCCCTTTGAAGTAGCGGTCGTCGAGCTGCTATGATGAGTAGATGAAGAAGAAAAAAGTAGGATATGGGGACTCACCTGGCAAAGCACGAAGACAGTTGGCCCGCCCTTTTTGATGTCGACGGAGAACTTTGTGTTGAGGTAGCCGGTGACCCAGGCGACTGAAACGCTTGTCCAGCGCTGGACAATGTTCCATTGCTCGTCGAAGAGGCGGGTACGATCAAGCAAGTTGAATCGCTTGAGCATGTCGTCATAAGACATCCAGAAAAGACCGTCGTCTCCAAACTTGTGATCCAGCTTGTTGAGCCAGTATGGGGTCCATTCAGCGGATCCATCACTCCATGGCCCTGTCCACTCGCCTAGCCCGGCATTGATTCTGTTTCCCCAGGGGTTGCGTATCAGTACTAATCTGTATTTTTTGCCCTTTTCATCTTGTTCGTCTACCGCCTTCAAGACGGAATAGGCATGGCCTAGTGCGAGACCCCTGCGCGCAACAGAGTCGTCGCCGTACGTTGCTGGCGATGAGGCTGAAAAAAGAAACTTCTTGCCGACTTGCTTGAGCTCTTCCCATAGCCGGTCTTTTCTCAAGATGCGGTCTGTCAGAATTTTGGTTGTGACGCCTCCTGTCAAGTCCTCGACGGCCTCACCGCTCCATCCACCAACAATGGCCGCGTAGTCACCGTGCACTGTTGTGTTGTTAGCAATGCAGTTTGTTCAAAAATTATATAGGACAGCGCCTGCCTTTTGCGTAGGCCTTTTCCAAAAGCGGAAGCCAAGTTTCATTCTCGTCGGCACACGAGGCGAAATACAGGGCGTCGGAGCCCGTCTGGTAGTTCTTTTTGTACTTTGTCTCCCTGGCATTGGTGGGATCATATTGGTCGCCCCACGCGGAATCAAAGTCGTTATACGTGACGTAGAGGTTATCATCGACAATAGTCCAGACCCACTCGCCGTCTCGATAGAAAACAAAACCATAGATACCGCATTCCTCGTCTCTGGCAACACAGACCTTGTCCATGAGGTCCGGGTTGCTGCAGATGGTCGACACGGCGGCGATGAACCAGCAATCGCCGCTGGCGCCCTGCTTGAGATCAGAGCTGGAGAAGCCATCGATGACGAACTCGGGCTTTTCGAATATCCAGTCGAGCCGGTGGACGGATCTGGGGCCACTCTGCTTGTTGGATGCTGTAGTTTCTTCCTTCTTATCCTCGTACCAATATCTGAGGCCCTCGAGACAATTCTTGTTGGCCAGATTGGTAATGTCAAAGTCTGGGTCGGTGAATTTCTCGTTTGTGCGGATGCATTCTCGGACGAGGCGCTTGACGCGAGCGCTGCACTCGGCAGCTGCAGCCTTGTATGATTCGGCCGCGTTTTTCCCCGTCGCAGCACCAACAGGGTTCTGTGGAGGAAGCAGATTTGCATACAGGCTTGGAGGGAAGATTTTTGTGACTTTTGCGGGCTTCTTGGTAATGAGGCTCTCCCAGAATCCGTCCATGGCTGCCTGGGGCGGGCCAGACTTGACTTCGTCTCCGCCGTCGGAGCTCATGGTTGCTTTTTTCTCCTTTGGCTCGCTGACTCGTCTGTATAGTCCCTGAGGGTAGAGTGGTGTTGTATGCGATGGTGAAGTAGACAAAGGACACAATCAAAAGGCGATACGTTGGTGTTTGTTTAGGGGGCTGTCACGATATAAGTGTATCTCGTAGCACAAGGATTTGGGGGCCAATACAGGACAAGACTTGGCGTTTCCGCTGCGTACAGCCTCGGGCGCCTGATTGGAGGCCTAAAAAGATTGTTTCTGTGTGTAGATACGAGGGTTTCATGGAGTGTCGGATGATGCATGAGATATGTGAACGAATAGTGTTAAAGTGTACTAGGAGTGGGGTTGCCTGTTTGGGCCATGTACTATTATCGCAGGGGTGGTATTCTGATTGGAGGATGACATGAGCGACTTGGCGAGTACTAATGTTGATGGCAGGTGCCGGTTGCTTAGATATCTCCATGTGCTGAACGCCTCAAAGGGGCTGCTTTTAGTGTGGCGGGGCACGCATGCTGTTTGGCTGGGTGTGTGAGGGGGTGGGATGACTAATCTGTTGTCAGTGAGACGATGCGAGTCTTTGGGCATAAGGTTCTGTCGCGGTATGTATATTCTCTTAGCGGCAGAGGTTGAAAGATTGTTTTTCTTTTTTCTCTGCGACAGACTCTCATTTATGTCTTACATGCAGGTGTGTTAACACGAGGTTTTTAATTTAGAGAGGCCTGGGATGTCTGTGTCATGGTGCACAGTCAAGCAAAAAAGGCAATTCAAACCAGGTCAGTGAGGATAAAGAGAAACAAGAGGAAAAAGTAAAACATGCATGTCGCTCAGACTAGGTGTAAGTAAGAGAAGTCTCAGTATTGCGCATGCTGCGCCACATGGAGCATGAGGAGCGAAAGGCTGCTGAAGTAAGCAACGGGATACCGCTTTGGGCAAGGGCAGGGGGGTTCAGGCTGAAGGGCACCGTGCGCTGGCGTGAGGTGGGGGAGGAGGAGAGAAGAGGACCAAGCGCCACCAGAGCCGAAGTCGTCCGCGGCCCATGCGCATCTCTCTCTTTTGCTACTACTCTACCGACAGGTGGTAGGAGCTTGTCTAATTTGTCAAAGTATCATTAGTCAAAGATACCCACATGGATTCAAGTAGAGGGATCATTGCGTGCGAAAGTGAGGCTGAGCGAGGATGCGTGTATGGAGCTAGTCATGTTGGGAGCAACATGGTGCCTTTGCAGTCACAGGCACAGCAACTAGCATGGCGTGGATAGCATAGCTGCGGGAAGGGATTAAATAGGTATTTGGCATTGCTGGTTGGGGCTGGAGGGGTCCGCCCTTGGATTTGTTTTTTTTCTCCTACTCGATACCAGACGAACGCGCGGCTCGCAGCTTCTGCCCCTTTTGGCCTGGCAGACTTGGCTCGAGGGCTGTCGTGTGCGCCAAACCCTGGGGAGAGGAGGGTGCATCTTGAAGCTCAGGTACGTCGCCGAAAGCATCGGGCATGTGGGTCTCAGTCGAGGCCAGCATCACCGTACCGCCTTGCCCACCCTGGTCCTGAGACTTTTGCAAGACCTAGTCCCAGCTTCGTACCGCTGTCACTGGCGCCCATTTCAACCGCTAAGCGCGTCATCGAGATCAAATCAAGTCACCGCGTTTGATTTTTGTCTACTACAGCTGCCAAGTCGTGCCACCTCGTGGGTATGTGAAACAGGCTCCCCACCCATAGGCGTATACATGTACAAATAGCATAATCAGTCAAAGATGGTATTTGAGTAGAACAAAGAGAAAGAGAGAGAGAAAGACCCTGTCGTGGTACCGGATAACGCGTAGAGGGAAAAGGAAAAAGAGCAAAAGCATTAGGCCATGATGGTTTGCACCGGTGTGTGTACTGTTGAAACCCAAACGAACCGCAAAAGGAAAAAAAAAGAAAAAAAACCAGAGACAAGGCGCGCTCTTGTCGGCCGTGATGTGATCCAAACAGAGGTGGAGGGGTCGTGTAGGATTCGGGGCGAAAATGGGAATACGGCATTTGCCATCAACTTCGGGCGAGCCTGGTCGAGTCTGAAACGGCCAAAAGCGGGCACCCCTTTTCTGGGCCAAAGCCGGGGTCGAATAGGAAGGAAAATGGGCCAATGTCGAAACGTAGTTGCTTTTCTTTTCCAAAGGTAAAACGATGTCATGGAACAAGACCGCCCGAACGCCATGCTAAGAGGATAGAGAAAGCCACGTGGTGTGCGTATGAAGAGAAGGAGTGGCCCGAAACCAGGTGGAGGGGTGGCCCGGGAATAGCGTGTGTGTGTGTGTGTGTGTCGCTAAGCAGAGCGCGAGGCGCAAGTATTGGCTGTGTCGCGTGCATCTATCTGGATCCCGGGATCTCGGGTGGGTTGGATCGTAGCCGGCGATCTATGCATCCGTCTGCAACCCAACGAGTCAGCATCAGCACCGAGAGCCTTTTTTTTTCCTTTGGGGTGATGCTGGGCCCATGTTGGTCGCACGTGTGATGATGCAACCTGTCATGGGCGTGGGCGCGGGTGTTGGGGGGGTGTGTACGAGGAGAGGGAAGGAAGAGCTCACTTAGGACTTGGACGCACAGGGTTGACACGTCTTGAGTTTGCACTGCTCGCACTGGTAGATGGAGGTGAAGGGCCCACTGTGACACAGGTTGCATGTCCAGACGACGAGGGTGGTGTCTGACTTGATCAACTTGAAGCTATGTGAGCAGCTGGGGCGGGCCATGGCGGGCGAGTGTGGGTAGTGGAGGGGGAGGACAAGCAGAGGGTGAAGCAGAAGGGGAAGGAGCTGTGTGCAAGTCAGCGTCCCAGGGCAGGCGCGGGCTAGATATAGCAGGTGAGGTCGAGTACTGACGTGAATAAGGGCGGCAGAATAACGGGGGCTAGGGAGCAATTGGGGAAGGGGCAGTCTGGATCGTGGCTGGCAAAACAAACGTCAGAGGGGACGAGGGAAGCAGCGGCCGGGGCTCTTGGAGAAGGAACGACTCCAGGGCGAGGGCGTGCTTGGGTGGTGTAGTAGCGGTTGCTGGTAGATGATTTGGCCGTGGTGGTGGTGGTGGTGGTGGAGCAATTGATATTGCTATTGCTGTGCTTGTTGCTGCTGCTGTGCTGCTGCTGCTGCTGCTGCGAATCGGCGCAGAGGCGGAATCATGGGCAGTCTTATACCTGGCAGCATGGCCAGCGGTCGAGTCAAGGCTCGAATAAACTTTTGGCTCGCAGGTGAGGTGAGCCCATCAGTCCACTGGGTCGACGAGGCAGGCCAGCCCCCAGCGGTAGTCTATGTACCACGAGCAGCAGCGCGCAGCCGTGGCCGCCGTCTCGCCGTCTGGCTGTGCTGGAGCGCGGGCATCCAAAGCGGACGGGCGTGGGACCGATGCAGCCAGAGATGGGCGTCCATGGTGACACGAAAAGGGCCGGCCGCCCTGGCTGCTGGCCGCTGCATCTGCTCAGTGTGCTTGTTGTAGTAACGCGGGCTGCGTGTTCCGCAGCCGCGGCGGCCATGATGCCATGTCGACGTCGCGGCGGGCAGGTTGGCCGGTGCAGGGGGACGGGCGATGGGAATGTTCCGAGATGGCTTCGAGCATAGCGCTGCCCCAGCCAGTGTGTCACCGCCCACCCAGCCCAGCTATCCTCCATCCACCCATCCACCCATCCACCATCCACCCATCCATCGCCGCCATGCGCCCTGCACGCCGCGTTCCATTGAGCCTGCCTGGCCCCGGCGCTGCTGAAGCGCGGCCTTTTGTTTCTTTTTTTCTTCTTCTCTGCTCCTTCTGCCAGCCTGCCAGCCCGGGCTGCCCACCCACCAACGCCCGCCAGGCATACCCTGGCCGCTGCCCACACCCCTCCTTCCCCCTTGAGCCGCATCGACTGCCCCGCGGCCCAGTCGCGATTGCCGAAAACGTCGCCATGCATGGGCGCCCCTGACCCCGGCCCGTTTCCTCTCCACCCCGCCCGCAAACACCTGGTGCCTTCCTGCTGCGAGCAACTGCAAGAACCAAATAATCCCCCCACTCACCCACCCACCACCACCACCCACCACCCACCACCATCGCCGCCGCCGCCGCCCACGCCGCCACATGCATCCCCGAGCACCAGGCGAGCGACATGGAAGGCAAGAAATAAAAAAAGGACTGCCCAAAACAAACCAGAGCCCCGCCCTCGACAGAAAGAGCGAAAGCCCTGGCTGCTCCGCCCGCTATTGCTTCTGGCTCGACTCTAGACATGGCGCCTCGATGCGACGTGCACCCCGCCCCATGGAGCCGCGGCATGGCGTGCTGCTCCAGTGCCAGTGCCAGCATCCCACCAGCCCTCACTTCCACGTTGCAAGGAAATGCTCGGCCATGGCCCTGGCTGGGTGCAGGGCGGGGCGCTGGTGTCGGGCCCTCTGCCCGCAAAGGCACCAGCACGATGCAGAGAAAAAAAAAAGTCGCTTCGAGTACAGCTACTCTCGCTTGCAGTCTTCCCGGGTGCGCTGCATCGGGCTGAACCTGGCGCCCGGTGCCACAATGCAAGATCGTGCAACCCTGTGATCTCTGGGTCTTTTAGGCTAGCTAGCTCCCTCGCCCGTCTCTAGTGTAGTCTCGACACAGGCACACGCACACGCACACGCACACGCACACGCACACGCACACGCACACGCACACGCACACGCACACGCACACGCACACGCACACGCTCCATGGCCAGCCAGCCAGCCCACCTGGCCGCAAGCAAGCAACTCGCTCGTACCACGTCCCATCCGCCCTCCAGCTGCCTTGCGACCCCAGACCGGGTCCTTGGAAACGGCACTGGGCCGCACACTCGGTCGCACTGGGCCATGGAAGCCCTCTGCTCTGCTGTCGTGCACGCCGTTTTCCGTCACTTTGCCATAGCTCGCCACGCACAGCCAGCGGCCCATACTAGTGTCCGCTCCGCTTGCAGCCCCCCGCCAGCCAATCGGGCTGTTTCTCCCCAGCCT